CGTCACACACCACCACCATCTCCTCCTTTCACTTTGATACTGACAATCACCACCACTTTGCTCGCCGGAAAAAATGGTGATCACCACTGCCGCCAGTCTTTTTCTATTCCCGTTCTTCTCTTTTTCCAAAAAATACTAGATCAAAAACTAAAAATATCAGATCTAAAACTACAAATGAATTAGTACTAAAAACCAAAAAAGAAAATGTGGTTGGAGATGGTGGCTGATGGATTTAGCAGAAGATAGGGAATGGGTTTGGGTGGATTCGGTGGGGTTTAGAATTAGTTTTTTTCTTCCTTAAAAATTGGTTTTCTTTTTTTCCCCTCATAATTCATTTTGTTAATTATTAGTTTGGACTCAAATGCCAAATGTCATCAGCTAATTCGTTAGTTTGCCACATCATTGGCGAGTATATTACACTCTCTTTATTTTTTTGCTGGTTATCAAAAAAGTGTTTAATGGGTACAAAATTTGAATAATATAAGTGTTCAATAGGAACAAGTCTTAGATAAAGTAGCCAAGAGGAAAATTCGGACAAATTTAGGTGGCTGCGTATGATTTTGGCCTTTAGTTTTTAAAGGTAGAAAAGTGAATATGTCGACCAACTTCAACTTTGTGGCAATTAACTTCATATAAATTATTTTATAAATTTTAGATTGTTAGGTAACTTAATTATTTTTACTTTCGTTTATTTCTAGAACTTCAGTAGTTATTTTAATATAGATTATTTCTATTTCAAAATTAACATATAATAAATAACTAAATAGGTAGTTTTCAAAATAATTCTTCAAGATCGCACTAACTAATGCTTCCAAAGCTAAAATCCTCGTTGTTTTATAAATTTTGATTTGGTTGTTAGATACCTTATGTAATTCTATTTTTGTGAGGTTTATTTCAAGAACTTCAGTAATTATTTTTATAATTTAAATTATTTGTTTTTCAAAATCAACATATAATTAATAACTAAATAGGTAATTCAAAAAATAATTCTTCGAAACCACACTAATCAATGCTTCCGAAGATAAAACCCTCATTATTTTACAAAATTTGGATTTTTACACTTTAAGTTTTATAAACATTTAGATTGGTTTGTGTTAGAAAAAAAAAATACGATCATAATGCAAATTATATCTTCAACCATATAATTTGAAACAATTATAAACTATTTGAGTTGTATTAAAGATTGTCATGTTCAATCGAGGTTCACAATTATGAACACCAAAGTAAAGATGTATTTGTTGAAACTTGCAAAATTTAACTATTAATACAAATACGTGAATGTAAAATTCAACTATTAATATAAATACGTGAATGTAAAATTCAATTACTATAAAATATTTTTTCTCAAAGAAGAACCTAAAAATCCTTAATTTTATAGTTACTGCTCGAACAAGGCAAAGTTTTGATGATGAAAACATGGAATTGTAACTTCTTTTATAGAAATTGATTGGTATATAATTTGAAATAGGAAACAATTTATACGAAGTAAAACTATGTATAGTTTAATAGTCCNAGTTGAAAGTTCTTGAAATTTAGATCTAAAAGGAACTAAAATATAAAAGTTCTAAATTTGAGAGAATAATTAAATGATAGTTCCTAAATAGTAGGAAATCAATTAAAGACTATTTCTAAATATTTGAAAAATAATAAATGACTATTTTGTCTAGTGTGAACTCTATTTTAAAGGGGTAAAAAAGACAAAGGACATTTCGCTAAGGGCCTTCGTGCTTTTAATATAACTAGTTACTATGTACGTGCATTACACGTAAATCTTTAGTCAGAACTTTTATGTGAAAGAACAACTAACTAAATTTAGTAACAATTTATTTACATGATGATATGATCATTGTAAAGTAACTAACGTGATAAAAATACAACAATCATTTAAATGCTAAAAATTAATGTTATTACTTTGGTATAATATTTGAATTCAAAATAATATATTCTTAACCTACAAAGATGATTAATTTAGTTAAGTTAAACGATATCTTATTTATACTGTAAAAATATTCAATGTGGTAGTATCATATCTAATACTTCTTTATAGAGGATATTTTTGGTATATGTTTCCTTCTATAACTTTGGTTTCTCCATCTCAAAAGTAAAACATATAATTGTCCATCTTTGAATCACTTCCAAAAAGTATTACTTTTTCACTACTGCACTTTGACATATTTGTGAGGGTTATATCTATTATTTATAAAGTTGTGTCGAATTTAAATTATGTCGGATAAAACCCAAAAAAATATTGCTACTTTATCATATTCAAAACAATAAAATATTAATCCTACACATGTTTTTATAAATCAAGTCCATGATTAATTGTTTTTAACCAATCGTCACGCATAATACATAAATAATATTATTCTAAAGTATTTTGCTTTTTATTTGAATACAAATTGATGTAAATCTTGAATTAAAAATAATTCATGGCACGTGAGCATCTAATATAAATAAATCATTCAACGAATTTTTTTGTTAAACTTCAATACATAGGAGACTTGAACGAACTTGTTCTAGGAAACCTAATCTGACATCAATCGATGTTCTTTGAAAAATTTATAAATGAATCAATTAGTCATACTGAAGTAAGAATAAATAAATTAAAGAGCCAATCTCATCTGTATTATTAAAACCACTTTATTATCATGTAAAAGAAAAATATTCATATAAACTTGCCCCTATTTTTATCCTTTAAAATTAGATTTTATATTTTAAAAAATTATCGTTTAATTATTTTCTTATTATTTAATATTTTAAAAAATAACTCAATTTATTTAAATTAGGTAGTAACTCCAAATATTTAGGTAAAAGATACTAACTTAATTTAGTTTTAGCTTTATGAAATTAAGACTTTAAAGGATAATAAGAATTTTTAACTTTGTAGAATGTTATAAATGTTTTTAGAATGTAGTACTAAAATTTTCTTTTAGTACGTGCCTATATTTTAGTACATTCCTCGTTATAAAAGAAGTGTAATTAAGAACCACAATTCTTTGAAAGAAAATTATGAACGCATTTTTCTAATTCAAATAGGACCAACGTTGTAGGGTTGGGTATATGTATAGTTTAATCGAAAAAGAATTCCATCATTAGTTAATTTACCATTAGATCCTTAAATTATACAAATATTTAAGGGCATAAAAGTCGATCAATGTTTCAGGGATATTTTAGTCGTTTAATATTTAACATAAATTATTCGTGTTTTTATAATAACTAGTTACTATGTACGTGTGTTGCACGTAAATATTTAGTCAGAACTTTTATGTGAAAGAACTAACTAAATTTAGTAAGAAATTATTTACAAGATGATATGATTATTCTGAAGTAATTAATGTGACAAAAATACAACAACCATTTAAATGCTAAAAATTAATGTTATTACATTAATAGAATACTTGAATTCAAAATTATATCGCCTTAACTTACAAAGATGATCAATTTAGTTAAGTTAAATGATATTCTATTTATAGTGTATAAATATTCAGTGTGGTAGTACCATATCTAATACTTCTTTATAGAGGACGTTTTTGGTGTATGTTTCTTTCTATAACTCTGGCTTCTCCGTCTCAAAAGTAAACATATAGTTGTCCATCTTTGAATCACCTCCAAAAAGTATTACTTTTTCACTATTGTACTTTGACATATTTGTGAGGGTTGTCTCAGTTATTTATAAAATTATGTCAAATTTAAAATATGTCGGATATATTCCGAGTAAAATTATTACTACTTTATCACATTCAAAGCAATAAAATATTAATCATACACGTGTTTTGATAAATCAAATCCATGATTAGTTAAGAATTTAGAGAAATATATATAGTTTTAACTGTTACAAAAATAATAGCAGATAATCTTTTTTCGTATATATACGTATTTTATATAGTATACATATTTTACATACTTTTTAGGAGAAATATACGTATTTTTTACCAAGTTATGACACATGAGCATCTAATGAAAATAAACCAATCAAAGAAAAAATTTGTTAAACTTCGATATATAGGAGACTTGGATGAACTTGTTTTAGGAAACCTAATCTAGACTAACATCAATCAATTTTCTTTGAGAAATTTGTAAAAGAATTAATTACTCATACCGAAGTAAAAATATATAAATTAAAGAGCACAATCTCGGCACTTTATTATCACGTAAAATAAAACATTCATCTAAACTTTCCCCTATTATTTTAACACTTTAAAATTAGATTTTATATTTTAAAAAATTATCAATTAATTATTTTATTATTATTTAATATTTTAAAAATTAACTCAATTTGTTTGAAATATATAGTAACTCCTAATATTTAGGTAAAAGATACAAACTTAATTTAGTTGTAGCTTTATATACATATTAAGGCTTTAAAGAATAGTAAGAATTTCAACATTGTTTAAAATGTTATACATGTTTTCTATAACGTAGTACTAAAGTCTTCTTTTAGTAGGTATCTTTCTTTTATTACGTGCATTGTTATAAAAAAATTATAATTGGGAACAACATTTTTCTAATTCAAGTAGGATTAACGTTGTAGGGTCGGGTATATGTATAGTTTAAATCGAAAAAGAATTCTATCATTAGGTAATTTACTATTAGATCCTTAAATTATACAATATTTAAGGGCATAAAAGTCGATCAATGTTCTAGGAATATTTTAGTCGTTCAACATTTAGCATAAATTATTCGTTTCTAATTCAAGTAGGATTAACGTCGTAGGGTCGGGTATATGTATAGTTTAAATTGAAAAAGAATTCTATCATTAGGTAATTTACCATTAGATCCTTAAATTATACAATATTTAAGGGCATAAAAGTCGATCAATGTTCTAGGGATATTTTAGTCGTTCAACATTTAGTATAAATTATTCGTGCTTTTATAATAAAATATAGATAGATATAGATAATATAATATAATATAGATAGATAGATATAGATTAACTAAATCCCATTTCCCCATTCCTAATTACCCCTACCGAGTTCCGACCAGCTGCAAATATTAATAAAATGAGAAAAGCAAAACAAAAATTTGTTGAAATAATTAGGCGGGAAAAATTTCAAGCTGGCCAAAGGACTCTCATTTTAGGGCTCGAACTTTACAAAAAAGAATTGCTGTTTCATCGTTCAATTCACAATGAATACTATTTCTTTGAATTTGGAGGACCCAATTCGGGACGCAATTTCAAGGATCCGATTCGGCCCACATTCCAACAATCTGCTCATTTCTTCTTGGGATTCTGTAAGTGTAAAACCCAGTTCCTCCGTGTATTCTGTGTTTGTATGTATGATTCAAGTTCATTCGGACACAGTAGCAAATTCGCCTCAATTTTAAACTAGTTGGATTCGGCTATATAATCCTCGATTCCATTCCCTCCACTTGGGCCTTTTACTGTCTGTAAATTCAATTTCATTTACATGTAACACAAAAATTGATTTTGCAGAGTCTTCGATTGTACGATGTAGATAGCTCTAAGCTTCGAATGGAAGCTCCCGGGAAAGCTTCTCTCCTCGATTGCTGCTTTGAGAACGAGAGGGTGTGCCTTAGTGCTGCGTCTGATGGTTCAATTTACAGGTTTTTACTCCTGCTTTATGATAATCTGATCAAATCTCCCCCTACCTTGCAGTAGGTGCATAGTGCACGTGTAAGCCCTTCCATTTAGCAGCCAACTTAGAGCATAAGTTATGGGTTCATCTGAATCCAATAGCTTTGGCTCATAACCCATGTATTTGTTAAAAAATCCATTAAAAATAAGTACTAGCAATAGATTTTAAACCCACTGAATCAAACAAGCCTGATGGGCTTAGGTACTTGGTACCTGTGCCGGTGGGAGGTAGTAGGTACCCTGTGGAATAGTCGAGGTGCACACAAGCTGGTTTACACCATCATTGTCATAAAATATAAAAGAAAAATAAATGGTCTATGATAGAATTTCGAACTCGGACCCATAAAGTTCAAATCTTGGATCCGCTGTGCTTTTATTCCGTATTGCAATGGACAAAACAGAAAGCTTTCATGTTAGAAAAGAAAAGGAAAAAGAAAAAGAAGAAGCTTATGTGTTGAGCTTAGAGCTAGAAACAGTTTTTTCTCATGTTCTGGGTACATTCTGTGGGGAATGCATTGAATTTGTTATCACTCTACACATGATGGTCCCTTTTGGGTTGTTCTTCTTCCTAGGTATGATTTGGATTCCGGGGTTAAAGTCTCAGTGGGAATTCATGATGATGTAGCAACCTGTGTTGAGTATTCTCCTACAACATGTAAGATATTGGTACCTCTATAATTTCAGTATGGTGACTTCCTAACATTTTCATTAAATATTGCCTTGGAGAAACACACAACACATAATATTCAAAGTAAAAGCAATGATCCTAAAAATGTTTGGGTATTTGTAACTGTCAAAGCTAATGGATTTTCCATAAGCTAATTATCGTACTAAGCAGAAGAATTCTATTTGCATAATTCCTAAAGTTGAGGATCCATTAATCAGTATCTTAGATGGAAATTTATTTGGATATATGTTCAACATCATGCGGCAAATGGAAAGGACCAAACTTCACTGATTTGCTCACAACTTTATTGCTCTGAACGTATAAATTTATCGACTCAATTTTCTCTCCTTAAATTCCTTTTTCATTGGTGTAAGGAGAGGACTGTAGAAGACTTCCAAGATGTCTTAGACTTTTTAGATTCATTGAGATGAGGGTGCTTAATTGCTATATAGTGACCTCTGTACTGTTGTAATTTTGTATTTTGCAGTACCATTTTGTGGTACTTGCCATAATAATATTTACTTATCTTATTAAAAAAATAATTGCAGGTCAAATAATTTCTGCTGGTTGGGATAGAAAGATAAATTTTTGGGATGCTCGTTCAACCCAATCTCATGGCTGCTCGAACAGCTTAGCTTCAGAGGTGGAGTCAATTTCACTATCTGGGTTCAGTTTGATGGTTGCTGCTGGATCCTCAGTTGATATATATGACCTACGAAGTTTTAAGAAATCAGTTCACACGAAAGGCGTCAAAGTAAAATGTGTACGGCCAATTTTTAATCCTAAAGGTACTCTTACCAAAATTCTAATATCAACTACGTTGTGCTTCCAAGGCCCCTATCACACCCCTCACCCCATTGAAAGAAAAAAGCAAAGAGAAAAAGAGAAAATACAAAAAGTTTAAGGATCTTCCTGAAAGTTGAACAAATGGTTCTAGTAGAAGAACTCTATTATGCATGTATGTATTTCACTACGGATGGTGTTGTCCAGGACTTACTTGTGGCGCGCTTAAGCCTTGAAACTGGGTGCAGAGTAGGTTGTGCACTTTGCCCCACTAAAGCGGCGCTTCAGTGTAGTGTGTATGTTTATCATTCCCTTCTATTACGCCTTTCTCCATTAAAGCCCACACTTGTTAGCGCTTTGAGCTTAAAGTCCAATAGACTTCTATGCTTATTTCTTTTCTTTTGTTTTTGCCTTTGATAACACTGACTGCAGAAGGATATAATTAGGGGTGTTCATGGTTCGGTTTGGATCGGTTTTTCCCTTAAAAGAAACCAAACCAAGTAAGTCGGTTTTTCAAATATTAGAACCAAACAAAACCAATTAAGTCGGTTTTTTCTCGATTCGGTTTATGTCGGGTTTTGTCGATTTTTCGGTTTTTTCGGTTATTTGTCGGTTTTTTCTTAAATATAAGCCATACACTACCAAACACATATTCCGGCGACCACATTTTCAACTTAACGCTATCAAATCAATTGCCATTTGAGAAATCTATTATTTACCAAGATATATTGATGATAATTGAATCAAATAGTGATGAATAATTTAAGGACTCAATTAAAAATATATTATTTTTAACATGAATTGGATTCTTACACTTAACAAAAGAAAACTACCAATGAAACTAGAATGTAAAGGTAAAGGACTATACTAAAAGTGCAAACTATTAACATTTCATTAAATTTTTAAACTTTGTATAAAAATATACATATATATAGGTGTAGTAATAAATTTGAAATAGCTACTCCTATAGTCGGTTTGGTTCGGTTTTTTTTCGGTTTTTTTTTTTTCTGATTAAAACCAAAACCAAACCAAATTTAATCGGTTTTTAAAATTCAAAACCAAAACCAAACCAAACCAAAAAATATCGGTTTTTCTGGTCGGTTTGGTTTGGTTTTCGGTTTGGTTCGGTTTTTCGGGTTTTTATGAACACCCCTAGATATAATTATGTGGGGTTTTCAGTTTTTCGTATTATCCATCTTATATTGGCTAGATAACTGGCATAAATATTTTTCCATCACATGTTTCTTTCTCATGCTTATATTTTATCTTACCTTTCTTTCAATTAATTTATCAGATTCCTTCTGGGTAACATCTTTGTGTAGGATTTATTGTTGGATCAGTTGATGGGCGAGTTCTTCTGGAGTACATCTGCAGATCCAGCTCAGACGAGGGGTCAGTAAAAGTTTGTCGTACTTTCTTTATGTTTGAAAAGATGAAAGTTTGTAGTACATCAGACTACTGTATGGCGATTCTGGCCAGATTACTCAAACCATGCTAGGCACATTTTAGGTTCAACTGTAAGTAGTCGAGTTCATATATCAGGTCAGCATTAGCTGATATTTTTCGGAAGATGGTGTCTACCTGGCTTTCAAATGCATGGTGTAAAAAAACTAAAAGAGCAAAGAGCTGCTTGGCATTCACCTGACATCACAAATTAGCTTCTGCTTATTTTGCTTATATGTTTGTAAGAACACTGGTCCAACTTTCCAATTGCTGTTTCACTTGCTAACATTTGGATAGAATATAAGATGTCTCAACTAGCAAACACAACTAGACAAGGCACTAGCTAGAAGAGGCTGTTGTAATCCATTTTAATCTGTCAATGCATTTCCAAAAAAGTACCAAAGCTTTGTTTTCATCAGATCCCACGGAAACATTTTTTCCTGTATTTATGAACTGGTACCTCTTGAACCTGCAAGGGACTTGCTCTGTGCTCCATCTCCCTGTTGTAGCATCCATTTTCCGAAGTTGCAAATGCTGGCAAATTCTTGACATTAGCATTTCCATTAAGCATGTAAAGACAACTGATAAATTCCTCATTGCCTAAGATGACCTCATCCAAAGTGCAATTCACTATGTAGGAGATGTAAGCAAAAGTTTGATGCTGCTGCTTAGAAAGAGCAAATAATTATTTCTAAGCCTTTTTCAAGTTTGAGGGACCATTTTTAGTCTTCCAAGTTCCAGCATGGAAAATAGTTTAGCATTCTAGAAAAGAGAGGTGGTACAGGAAGGATGATGATTCAGAACATTAGTAGAGAACTTGGTAGAAATGGAAAAGTTCGAGAGGGCATTTTTTAGATCCTTGTATCAGTCAATAGTAGGCCAACAAAAGATGATTTGGCTTCTTATCTTTAATTTAGATGACATAATTGGCTTCTTATCTTTAATTGAGAGGGCGCTTCGCATAAGGATACTATAGTTTGGAATCCAGTGATCGAAAGGGTTGGAAAAAGATTAGCAGGCTGGCAGAAACAGTACTTGTCAAAAGGCGTTAAGGAAATGCTTATTAAAAGCACTTTATCGAGTATGCCCACCTATTACTTGTCCCTGTTGCAAGCTCTTGTGAGCATCTCAGAAAAACTGGAGCGGCTTCAAAGGAATTTTCTTTGGGATGCGGCGGATGGAACTAGAAAGTTTCATCTAGTGAATACTTTCCCAAAGAAGTGGGGTGGACTTGGAGTAAAAGATCTTAAGGTATTCAATAGAGCTTTGTTGGGGAAATGGCTGTGAAGATTCGGGGTAGAAGAGCATGCTCTATGGAGGGAGGTCATAGTAGAAAAGTACGATTCCATAGGAGGGGGTTGGAGGACCAAGGCAATCACAGCACCTTTCGGGTGTGGCATGTGGAGGAGCATCATGAAGAATTGGGAAGCCTTCAATGGCAATATCACTTATAGGGTGGGAGATGGAAGGAGAATCAACTTTTGGAATCATAGGTGGTGTGGAGAGGATACTCTGAGGGTCTCTTTCCTCCACGTCTTCAGAGTTTTAAACCAGAAGAAATTGATGGTTCAACGGATTCGCAAGGAGCATGAAAAGGGGGGGGGGGGGGTAGTATGGGACCTCTCATTTAGAAGGAACATGCAAGATTGGGAGATTGCGGAGCTCCAAGATTTGTTGGCACTGCTATATGGGCAAGACAGGCCCCAGCTATCTTGTGATTTTTGGAGAATGGGGGTTGCGTGGCGATGGTTTGTTCACCGTAAAGTCCTTTTACCAGAGTATGTTAGTGAGAGAGAAGGCCATTTTCCCATACTCCTCGATCTGGATTCCTAAGGCGCCCACAAAGGTGTGCTTTTTTGCATGGCTAGCGGCGAGGGGAATGATCTTGACTGCTGAAAATTTGCGAAAGAGAGGAATTACACTTGTTAGTTGGTGCTACATGTGTAAAAGCTCAAGGGAAGAAGTTGATCATCTTTTGTTGCATTGCCCTGTGTCCTCGGGTTTGTGGAGGGCAATCCTGAATCTTTTTGGTGTTCAATGGGTGATGCCAAGCACTGTAAAGGAAATGTTATATAGCTGGGCCGATTTCCGTAGAAGAAGAAAGCAAAAGGCGTGGAAGTTCACCCCGTTAGCTCTCATGTGGATAGTTTGGGGGGAGAGAAATAGGAGAGCTTTTGAGGGGATTGAGTCTCCTTTTCACATCTTAAGAATAGTTTTTTATCTTTGATCGCTTTTTGGTGCACTCGTATAGCCCCTACTTGTATAGAAGATTGAGCGTCATTTGTAGAGAATCATGTTCTGATGTAAATTCTCTTCTTTTTGGTCTACTTGTATACGGGAGTTTTCTCCCTTTTGATTAATACAATTTACCTTATCAAAAAAAAAGAAGCAATTGCTGAAAATCAAATCTGATTGAAAGAAAAAGAAAGATTGACAATTAATCAAGGCAAATTATAAAATCTAGAAAAAGCAGTAGAAGTATTCTTCCCAGGGCCATGTATCTTTTGGTTTAAACCTTCATATCCCTTATTTCTTTTACACTCATATCCATTTTGGTAGGGTTGCACGTTGGTGAAACTATAACTTTTCTTTTCTGTAAGTGACAAATTCAGACATTTTATAGAAGGACGAAACAGTTTCAGCTACTGAAATTTCTCAGTATATGGTTACTATGAAGTCTCATTCTAAGATCTCTCCTTTGTATGGATCTCTTAATTCATTTGTCAGCTTTTGCAGATACGCATTTAGATGTCATCCAAAGAGTAAAGATGGGAAACGTCATCTTGTAACAGTTAATGACATTGCGTTTAACCCATCGTATGTGGTTTTCCAGTTTCAGCCTTCTGTTATTGCTAACTGATAGAAGTTATACTCACAGTACCTTTTCCCTTCCCAGCATTATTGGTTCATTTGTCACTGGTGACAATGACGGCTATGTCACCTTGTGGGATGCTCGGGCAAGGAAACGGATGTTTGAGGTACTTTTGTTCATTTGTCAATCAGATATTGCATAAGTTTCCCAAAAAGTGATATAATAGTTGTTATTGCTCGAGGAAGGAAACGGACATTTGAAGTACTCTTGTTCATTTGTCAATCAGATGTTGCATAAGTTCCGCAAAAATTGATAATATAGTTATAATTGCAGTTTTGATATCAGTTGGTTGAAGTCATAGTTTTGAAAGAAATCTTGTGTTGTTGAGATCAGTGAACAAATCTCTTGTATTACATGAGTTACATGCCAAAGTATAATTTTTCAGTTTCCCAATCAAAATGAAAAATGCAGAATGTCCATTGCTGTCACACGTACACGTTCTGGTTTAACTACTGCTTCTGTTTATTTCCCTTTGGAGATTTGCTGCATCTCTTTTTGCTTGTTTCAACCAATTGATGGATCTCAGTCCATTTGTTCGGTCTTTTTTTTTAGATGCCAAGGTATCCCAAGAGTGTTGTCTCTCTATCATATAGCCATGATGGATTGCTTTTAGCAGTTGCATCCAGTTATGCATACCAAGAAGCTAATGAAATGTAAGACAAACTTCTTTAATCATTTTCTTATAGTGGGTTGGTTGTGTTCTTGGTCACTCTCACTTACATAATCCCTTTAAAATATTCAATTGCCTTTGACAGAGAAGAGCCACCTCAGATATTTATACATGAAATAGGGAACTTTTATCTCACGTCCCCTTCTTCTGGAGCTTCAAAGTACAAATGACTGCAAATACACGTCTCAGATTCTGGTTGTTGCTTCTGTTTCCTTTATATAAGTCATCTTGTTTACTTGATGCTGTAGTTATCACTTATCAATCCTTAATAATATATGGTTGCTGATAAATTTTTTTGCTTTCCCTCATTATTTTCTAGTTCAAGCTACAACTCTTATACAGTAATTTTTGCTGGTACCTGTGCACGAATTGGCTTTTCCGGGCTCACGTTCCCTGATATCTATTTTGACTCTTACCAAGATTAGAACGAAAGGGCTCAACAGAAAAGCGGATACTCTCCTGATGTATTAATGTCTAACAAAGTGTTTGCTCCAAGTGGAATATATTTTGCAGTTGTATTTTTCATCAACCGTAAAAGAATGTGTTTCTTGGAAAACCATATGTTATGTTCTTTTGCTTGGTTATAGCAAACGTTTCTCTTCTTTAGGTTATACATCCAAATGAAAACCTTGAAGTGTTTGGAATAGTTATCAAAATTAAAGGCCTTTTTTTCCTTTTATTTTTTCTTCAAAATTGTCACTATTATAATTTGATTGTTTTTTGAAGTTATATCACCTGCAAAATGTTAGTTATCTCGGACAGACTTGAGGCAAATACGACATTTTTTTTAACTTTTTATTTTTTCCTTCGCTAGTTCTTTCACTTGGGGGTTGGAATATTGCAATCCGTGGAAACTGAAGGGCCTTTTTTGCTAATTTAGCAACCTGTGTTGAGTTTTCTTCTGAAACATGTAAGAATGTCCGTAATTCTGAAAATTGAATATGGCGACCTCTTAACATATTCTTTAAAGTATTGCCCTGGAGAGAAACACAGAAATCATATTACTCAGAGCAATAATTGTAAATTTGTAACGATGTTTGGTATTTATATACATATTCAACAGCTAGTAGATTTGCCATATGCTAATTGTTGTACTAAGCACCAGATGATTAAACCATTTCCGAATGTCAATTATCAAGACGGTTGCTTCTAGCAACTTTTCGCAGGTCTGCAAAGTTGACTTGGAATTACAAAGCTTCAGACAAGAACCGCATTGCAGGAAGGGCAAACCATAGCAACATAAATATAAAATACTAATACTACTAAGAAAGGTTGCCCCTGGGCTTTGATCTAGTAGTAAGAGTGCAACGCGTGATGTGTGACTTAGATGCATATACATGTTCAAAGGTTGGTATGTAAGTGGAGAATAGTAGAAAGGCGGACCCATTATCTAACTTTTGTATTTTTTTAATTTAAAAAAAAGAAACTTCATTAACAAGAAAGGTTGGGAGGCACTTTTAGGAAAAATAGGATACCAAAGAAGCTCAAATATTTTGGTCAAAGGCAAAATAAGACCAACAATAATAAGAGAGTAAAAGGGACATTAGGGAGAATAGGGTACACTAAAGAGTTTATTGTCAATCCTTGCAGGTGTTGACCTAAGTTGTCATCTTTGTTTTTCATTTGTTCTCTATTTGTAGGCCCTAAGCTAAAGATTTTACACTAACAAAAAATCTGAGGCTGGCATCATAAAATAAGGATTAACTACCTATTCTAGTGACATTTCAACGGTTGATTCCTCCTAACTTGTCTAGTGACGCTTCAACTGTTAATTCCTACTACCTTTGTCTAGTGACACTCTAACTGTTGATTCCTCCTGTCTATTCACATTCCAGGTATAAAGTTTAAGTTATACACACCATCCGTTTAAGAAATTTTATACCATCACGTCACCTTACCTGTTGTAGTAGCCAACCTGTCTTATTTTCAAGATTACAAATCCTACATTTAAGGAGGCTTTCCAATAGATATCCTTTTGGCGACCTGATAGCGTGAAACTTCCAACTATATATATATATATAGAGAGAGAGACTCCTCAACAATTCTTTTTGTAGTTGAGGTAGAAAGCACCATGCATCTTTTAAAGTTACACATCTTTTCTTCTTTTTGACTCAAATCTTTTTCTGATTGCTTGTGCCATAGAATTTTGTTCCCTATAGTAGAAGAATGACAAATTGGAGTAGTAGCTTTCTGGGGTTTCTTCATCTTGCTTTTATTTTGAGAATTGAAGCCTTAGAATTTCATAGGACTGATCAACACAGTGAAAGAATTTCAGGAAGTGCTGGTGATGTTTTGGAAGATAATCCAATAGGAAGGTTAAAAGTTTATGTATATGAGCTTCCCAGCAAATATAACAAGAAAACTGTGCAGAGAGATTCGCGATGCCTCAATCACATGTTTGCAGCCGAGATATATATGCATCGTTTCCTGTTATCCAGTCCTGTTCGAACCCTTAATCCAGAGGACGCGGATTGGTTTTATACTCCAGTTTACACAACTTGTGAGTACTTGACACCACATGGTCATCCTTTACCTTTCAAGTCACCACTTATGATGAGAAGCGCGATTCAGCATATAGCTTCTAGCTTGCCATACTGGAACAGGACACAAGGCGCGGATCACTTCTTTATTGTACCACATGATTTTGGTGCATGTTTTCACTTCCAAGAAGAGAAAGCTATTGAAAGAGGAATTCTTCCGTTGCTGCAACATGCTACCTTGGTTCAAACTTTCGGGCAACAAAATCATGTTTGTTTAAAGGATGGTTCTATAACTATTCCCCCATATGCTCCTCCACAGAAAATTCAATCCCACTTGATCCCTCCTGATACACCAAGATCCATCTTTGTTTATTTCCGAGGCTTGTTTTATGACGATAGGAATGATCCTGAAGGCGGGTACTATGCACGAGGTGCTCGAGCAGCAGTGTGGGAAAACTTTAAGGACAATCCTCTCTTTGATATTTCTACAGATCATCCAACAACATACTACGAGGACATGCAACGAGCTATCTTTTGCTTGTGCCCTCTCGGATGGGCTCCGTGGAGTCCAAGACTGGTTGAAGCTGTTATATTCGGATGCATCCCCGTTATAATAGCAGATGACATTGTGTTACCATTTGCTGATGCAATTCTATGGGAAGATATCGGATTGTTTGTAGCAGAGAAGGATGTTCCATATTTGGATAACATTCTCACTTCTATTCCACCACAAGAAATATTGAGGAAGCAGAGATTGCTTGCCAATCCTGCAATAAAGAAGGCAATGTTATTTCTACAACCTGCTCAACAAGGTGATGCTTTCCACCAAATTTTGAATGAACTTGCTCGTAAATTACCTCATCACAAGACAATATACGGCGACAACATCTTATTAAACTGGACTGCTGGTCCAGTTGGTGATCTAAAACCTTGGTAGGATCGAGCTGCATATGGATAGGTGATTGCATTCCTTCCTTAGTCTCAGCGTCGAACATTTCTTCTGTATCAGAGGTGATGAATTTCATCACAAGTGTAAATTTTAATTATGTGGGAGATCCACCAGTTATCATATCACATATGGATTTGATTTTGTTAGTGAATAGTCGAGGCTGCAAAAATTCAAAACTAGCCACAACTTAAAAAAGGGCAGTCCAGTGCACAAGGTATCCCGGGTTCACGCCCGGGAAGGACCGCACCTCAAGGGGTGTGATGCAGATAGCCTACCTTAATGCAAGCACTAGTGGCTACTTCCACGCCTCGAATCCGTAACCTATAGGTCACACAGATAAAGATAAATCACGTAATATCATGTAAAAGACCTTGACATTGACAGATAGAAACATCATGCTTTTACAATATCTATTCACTCAATCTCAATCCATAAAAGTAAAGAAAGACCTAAAATAAATAGTAGAATACCATAAGTGATCCATTAATAGCAGTGATACCACCAGTAACTCAACTAATACATCATACATCTTGTATAAGCTTCTTGGTTTCCCAAGCTGCTTCAGCTGACAAAACTCCTTAAAATCTGTAAAGGAAATAGATAAATTAGTATGCTGCAACCTTGTAAGTAATGGTTTGAACAAAGTATAATCATTCAGAAAAAGCATGACTTCATGGTACAACTGATTCTATTTCAATTCGGTTTCAAATAATGTTTCTTATTCTTTATCTATTGTCTCTTGCAGAAATGCAGGGTAAGGCTGCGTACAATAGACCCTTGTGGTCTGGCCCTTCCCGGACCCTGTGCATAGCGGGAACTTAGTGCACCGGGCTGCCCTTTATTCTTTATCTATCATAACATACATTCAGTTATCCCGAAGGGTGGACTATGAAGATCAGGGGATGGAATATCAGCATTTCAGCTTGCAACCATCAGTCCTTTGCCTAATTGAATACATGAAGCTAATTAATTTGGGATGTCGTCGTTAAAAGTTATCTTTGATCTGCTTGGAACAGTTATGAGCAATGTCGGCTTCCTAGTTTTTAGATTTAGAAAGAATTTGGTTTAGTTAACTTTTGATTGGTAAAGCTGAATGCATCATCAATTTCATTAATAGCTCTTCATTTTCACATTGAAGAGTAAATGAGTGCAACAGAAGAAGTTTTAAGCTCAGACAGGGTGATGAAACCATTACTTAATAAGCTAGTGTATAAAAGAAACACATTTAACTTCAGTTGCATTGATCAACGATGTACCTGTAATTGTTCACTTGTGGATGAAGACCTCGAAACCAGACAGAAGCAACATCTTATTAAACTGGACTGCTGGTCCAGTTGGTGCAAATTTTGATTAATGTGGGAAGAAGAAAGATAAAGGAAGAATAGTAATTTGGTATCTTTTCTGATGTTTATTTAAATGAACCTAATCTCTTATACATGGATTTGGTTTTATTAGTGAATACTCGAGGCTGAAGAAACGAGTTCATTACTCAAATGGTCACTCAACTATCCCAAATTATCTTCTAAAGTCACTTTTCTTTCATTTGTAACAACAAAATCATTTAACTATGCATATTGCACTCAGAAAGTCACTCAACTAGATTTTTCAAATTTTGGAGTGTCAAATACTTATTTTGCCCTCTAAATTATAAACATTTATCTTCTTTTTATTTTTTTTAAACTTTTTAATATTGTGATTTCCCCCCCTTTTAATTTACATTATGGACTTACCTATAGAATAAATAAATACCATTTATAAATTAAAAATACAAAATATTTAAGCATATATAATACCGAAATAACAAAATAATGAGCATAGTAAAAAATAAATTAATTAGAATAATTTATGAGTAATAATAATTTTAGTATTAACAACAAAAATTCAAAAATTTATTTACACAATTCAGAATGAAAGAAAATAAAGGTTGTAACATACAATTCCATGCACATAATATAAAAATAATTATTTAAATAAAGGTTTTTTATAATATACATTATATATTCGTTGAAAATTATGCTCAATTATATTATTATGTTTCAACCAGCTTTCCGACGACACAAAGTTATGTACCGGAAAGCAGGGGAACTATTTGTATAGGGTAAAATATGCTATATTAAGTCGTGCATGGAATATATATAATATAATTGAGCATAATTTTCAAGAATATATAATGTATATTAAAAATATATATTTATTTAAATAATTATTTTTATATTACGTGCATGGAATATATATTTTACAACCTTTATTTTCTTTCATTCTGAATTGTGTAAATAAATTTTTGAATTTTTATTGTTAATAAAAGTTTAAAAAAATAAAGAGAAGATAAATGTTTATAATTTAGAGGGTAAAATAGGTATTTGGCAATCCAAAGATTGGAAAATCTAGTTGAGTGACTTTCTGAGTGCAATAGGCATAGTTCAGTGACTTTGTTGTTACAAACGAAAGAAAAGTGACTTTCGAAAATAATTTGGGATAGTTGAGTGACCATTTGAGCAATTGACTCTGAAGAAACTCAAAACTAGCCACAACATGATAAAGAAGAAATAAATCACGTAAGAAAACTAATGATGGACGATAATAAAAAATCCTGTGAAAGACCTTGACATTGACAAATTGGAGTTAATTTTATCCATGGTCATTGAACTTTTGTGTTTGTTACCCAAAAGTCACTATTCTTTTTTTCGTTACGTAAAAATCATTCAACTTTGTGTTCATTACACAAAAGTCACTTTTCTTTCTTTTGTTACACAAAAATCATTTTACTTTGCTCTAGTTATCACAAAAGTCACATTTTTACTTGAAAAGTCTATTNAGCCCGCTACCGGTTTTTACCCAAAAGGCCTCACACCATTAAGAGATCCCTTCACTTTATATGTAGACTCCCAATCTTTTCAGCTACCAATATGGGACTTTGTTCGCACACCCAACAGCACTAACGTCAAGCGATTGTCATTTGTATTTTTCTCACAACTTATTTCAAGCGTTTCCTCCAAATGTAGAAAAACACTAGTACAAAATTTGATAAAGTTTAAAAATATAATAATAGTGATATCTTCTTAAAAGTTTCCACCCAAAGAAAGCTTAACCATGACCATAAGAACTATACATGACAAAAATCATAGACATTTATTTATAGAGATAATTTTATTCATGGTCACAAAAGTTATTTTTCTTTCTTTTGTTACACAAAAATTATTTTACTTTGCTCTAATTATCACAAAAGTCACATTTTTATTTGAAAAGTCTATTATGCCCTTTATATTATATAAACCTTCATATTTATGTAATACCTTCTATATTATATACTATATAATATATTTTTAACTATGTATTTTATTTATAAATAAAATAACTTAATATTATTTTTATAATATATTCGTATAAAATAATTTAATAAAATATATAGTTAAAAATACATTATATAGTATATAATATAGAAGGTATTACATAAATATGAAGGTTTATGTAATATAAAGGGCATAATAGACTTTTCAAGTAAAAATGTGACTTTTGTGATAACTAGAGCAAAGTAAAATGATTTTTGTGTAACAAAAGAAAGAAAAATGACTTTTGTGTAATGAACACAAAGTTGAATGATTTTTACGTAACAAAAAAAAGAATAGTGACTTTTGGGTAACAAACACAAAAGTTCATGACCATGGATAAAATTATCTCGACAAATTGACAGATTACAATATCTATTACCCATTCACACAAATTCAATCCATAAATGTAAAATAAGCACTAAAATCAGTTGCAGAATACAGCAAGTGATACCACTATAATTCAACTAATATATAATAGTACATCTTATATAAGCTTCTCGGTTTCACCAACTGCATGATCAGCTTATGAAACTCCTTCAAATCTGTAAAGGAAATAAATAAATCAGTAGGCGGTGACCTCGTAAGTTATGGTTTAAACGAAAATATGATCATTCAAAAAATGCATAATATATATATATGAAATGAAGTTGCTTATTCTTTATCTATAATAACATTCATTGTTCTTGAAAGACTGGACTATAAAGACGACCATTAGCATTTCAGCTTCCACCCATCAGTACTCTGTGATGAATTGAATATATGAAGCTGAGTAATTTTGGATATCGTCATATAAAATTATCAAATTATCTGTGATCTGCCCTGAGCAGAGAATAGTTAATAGCAACGTGGGCTTCCTAGTTTTAGATTTGACAAAAGGACTCTTAAATTTATTCTACCATTGACTGGTAGAGCTGAAAGCATCATCATAATTTGATTGATGGTTCTACGGTTCAACCATTTTAAAGTAAAACGTAAGTTTTTGTAACAGGGTGTCAAAGCGAATACTCAATAAGCTAGTGTACAAATAAACACGTTTAACTTCGGTTGCATTGGATCAACAACATACCTGTTTTTTTTGCTGCTTGGGGATGAAGAGCTCGAAACCAGAAGTTCCCGACATTCCCTCTAATTCTTCCCTGACGGCCTCGGCTGACTTGACAAGTTCTTCATTGCACGATATTATCTCAACTGATTTCAGGGAGGAGACATTCCCAAAACAAGAAGCTATCGCCTTAAGATGTCGACATCTTCTTAATACCAAGTGTTCAAGGCATGGAAAGGCATTATCTGAGGCATCCCATTCTGAAAAAGAAGGATTTTCTAGTTTCAAGAATTTGAGTTGAAGGAACTGCTCATCATTCACTTTCCATACATTGGAACTAATGGTAACTCCTAGCAGCTTGAGCACCTCGAGTTTTGGATGGTTTGCAACTTCAGTAAGATGTATGTGAAAATTGGACAGTGTCAACTTCTTCAAGCTTGATGGAAACTTCAACTGATCGATCAAGGTCAATTTAGTACCGGAAGAGATCTTGAGCGTTTCAAGCTTTGTAAGATTGCAAAATGCAGGAAACGAGCCATCAAATTTGGAAACTTCACATCTCAGTTTCTGAAGATTTGGCATCTTCTCCAAGATTTTATCGGCATTGTCCACACAAGAAAAACATGTCGAGGAAACAGTTTGCAAATTAACCATTGTCGAGTCGCATTCTGAGAATTCTTGTCCACTATTCAAAGTGAAGAATGCTCGCTCATAGATATGAATATGCCGCAACTTAACCATCTTCCAAATCGTATTCGATAATGATACTCGTCCTCTAAGTCCTTGAACTATCAACGTTTCAAGATTCTGAAGATTGTCTGGGAGTGATAATGTATCTTGCGCAGTCCGAAAAGCAAGATACTTCAAAAGGGTTAATTCTTGTGGGATAGAGTCAATCATGGTGAATTCAAAGTCTAATACCCTTAGAAACTTGAACCTTTTAAAAGTGTCTAAAAAACAGTCTATTGAAGAGAATGCAATATTTCTAGCCTCCCTGAACTGGAAAGATTTCACATGGGAAAAAAACAAACACCATTTTGGAAGATTTTCACTTTGAGAATAAAGGTATAAGCGGCGTGAAGTATTGCACATTGGAGGGGAAAATTGAGAAGGACTTGAACCGCTGTCCCTGTTAATGGAGAAATAGGTATAATTAGAAGAAGCCTTATAGATTGAAAAGATAAAATTGATTAATGTTTTTATTACCTTATCCTTTCTAAAAAGTTCTCCAACTTCGCTTTCTTCCTGCAAAATTCAAGCACCAGGTCATGAATGCGACATGTCTTGATCCTTCCATCAGAGCTCTTTTTAGCAACCATCACTAGATTTCTCCCAATAAGATTCTCCAAGTAAAATTTTGCTATATCCTCAGAAAGCTTCTCCATGTGCGTGTTAATGAAACCCTCGGCTATCCACAACCATGTTAATTTTGAGACTTGAATTTCTCTGTCCTCTGGAAATACTCCCATATATAAAAAACACGGTTTCAAATAATGTGGTAGATTCCGATAACTCAGATCTAGTGTGCCCTCCGATTGAGCCTGAATATTTGGACCTAAGTTTGTTGATACTTGTTCCCAACAATGTTTTTCCTTCTTCATTCTTGTGAGGATACCTGCTACCAGAACCATTGAAAGAGGAAGCCCTCCACACTTTTGTGCTATGCTTTTGCCGACAGCCTCTAAGACCAGGGGACATCTTTCTTTGTTGAACACCTTATTCTGTAATAACGTCCAACTTTCATCAATATCGAAAAATCGAAGCTTATGGGGATCACTAACGTGCTTAGCATAAGATGCAACTTCATAATGCCGAGTTGTTAGAATAATTCTACTTCCTTTCTTATTTTCAGGGAAGCATGACTGTAAATCATCCCATGCACTCCTTTTCCAGACATCATCAATGAGGACAAGGTATCTCTTGGGCTTTAAAAGTTTCTGAAGCTTGTCTGCTAATTCATTTTCAGCCTCTTTATCAAGTTTAGCTTTATCATCAGTAACATCACGTAGAAGGGCTAGTAACAAGTCCTTCCGTTTATATTCTTGAGAGACACAGCAGTGGACACAGATATCAAAATAAGAGACAACAAACTCATCAACATATAATTCGTTTGCCAGAGTAGTCTTGCCTAATCCAGGCATTCCAACAATTGAAACGACATCAAGATTTACTGATCCTTTGATTAGTTTACCTCTTAGTTCGACCATCACATCCTTGAAGCCCACCATTTCTTCATTCGTGCTTGCATTACTGGCAAATTTCGAGGAAATATGTGCATTGGGAACATCTGTGGTGTTATGTAATACCAGGTCAAACTCATTCTTATCTTGAAGTTCTGCTATCTCTGCCATGAGTACTCTAAGATCCTCTCCAATGTCCAAGATCCAGAGCAAAAGACACCAGTCAGGAACATTTTTTTTCCTACAAGCATCAGAAATATGTTCTACCTCATACACCCAACCGTTTATTTGTGTTACTAAATGTTCTTGCTGTTCTACAACAACTTGAAAGCACTTGAGTTCTTTCTGAAGTGCCCGAAGTTGGTTCTCGACAAAATCAAATGAAAGATAAAGGCTTAGACACTTCTCCCTGTTGTCTAAAATGAAATCAGTAGAACCCACCACGTCAATTCCAGGCAAGCTGGACTGAAAAAGAAATGTCTTTCGCGTGATGAGATAGATCATTGCTTGCATACTCCAAATTTTGACTCGGAAATCAAGATCACCCTTCTCCTTGTTGTTTAATGAGTAAACCAGAAGTCCTGCATCAATAATAACAGAATCTATATCTTGAAGACTAAATTCAGGGACCTGTACTAGTAGGGCTCTCAAGAAGTTGAGCATCTCCTTTATCTCTATGCCATTTAAAATGAATGGTAACTCTTCCAAATTGTGTAGGAGAGTCTCCACAAATCCAACTTCACAATCTACCACATACTTAATTTGGACAACGGGACACCATTGTGACTGCACTAACTTTATAGCTTGGAGGACATCAATATAGATCTTGGAGATGCTTGGCTCAATAGGCTGAATTTTGCTTCGCAGCAGATCAGAAAACAAAGGATAACCCTCATCTGCATCAGAGTCTATATATTTCTTGCTTGGAAGATACAACCAAGTAACCACTGTTGTGTGCCAGGCCACTTCTAAAACATGAGTGAAGAAAGTATGTTGGACCTGAGACTCTATGCATCTGTCTGAAACAAAACATACAAAACTTTTAAGAAACTTCAACTCCTTCAGAGCCTTCTCAATTTGATCCCGGGGATTCTCTGTCAAAAATGAATATGGATCATCAAATTTCAGTAAATAACTGAGATTCTCTGTCATGGTATCTATGAATTCCATAACAGAATTTGGAGTAACAGTACCATCATTGTTGGCTAAAAGCTGAAATGATATTCCCGTAAAGGAGTATTTAGCTCTGATTTCCAACTTAGTCTGCCAAAAATTATTTTCCAAGCCGGAGACACAGTGCTGAAATTGGTTGCTCTCTGGTATTACTTGCAAGCTGTAGATGAGGAAGAGATCAGCTGCAGCACCTTGAAATAGAGCTTGGACTTTCTTTATGAGATCTTGTTCACCTGTGAAGATCTGCAAGTTGAGAATGATATCCAACAACTTGATATCCCTTTTAAGGAACTTGAATATCCTTTCAAGGTACTTAAATGCAGACAGATCTACTTCGAGTGAATCACATTCATCTTTGATCCTCTGCAGAGTTTCAATGGGGAGAGATTCATCTGAAGACAGATATTTCTCTGAAAATATAACTAAAGAACCGCATTCCCTGTCAGCCTGCCAGAGAGCGTAACAGAGATCAAAGGTATCAGGTTTCTCTGAAAGAAATATATTGAATGAGCTGCATTCATCTTCAGTCCACTTCAGAGTTTCACGTAGATGAGATAACATTGACAGATACTCATCTGAGAACTCAAGGAATGAGCCCCAGTCCTCTTCAATCCTGTGCAGTGTGTCAAGGGAACAAGATCCCTCTGAAAAACGATATCCGTCTAAAACCATACAGAATGAATGACATTCCTCTGCAATCCGTTTCAGAGTTGCGGGATTATAAGTAATGGAACTGTACTTCTGTTCAATCAGTTGCAGCGTTTCAAGGGGATTAGGTATGTCTGAAGACATATCTCCTCCTCTCTTTGCAGCTGTTGTGGATGAAACTTTTGCAAACTGGAAATTAATGGTTTCAATCTGTCATCTAGTTACTACCAAAATTAAGATGGTCTCTACAGTTCCTTCATTATCTTATCAGCCAATTAGTTGATAAGATCATGCATGGTTCCTGACCACATAAATGAAGAGACTTCTGACTTTTCCAAATTATAGAGACCCTAAATGAATTTCTATATATGATATATTTTAGTCATTCAAATTTGACCAAGTCACTGAGACCCTCATCGAATTTCTATGACCAGGTCACTCTGAGACTTACAAGAAAAAGACTAATGAGAGTGAAAATACAAAGGAAAAGGGAGCAAACCAGGAAAAAAGGTTTTTAATATTAAGGCTAAATTGGTGCAGCTCAGGGGAAGTATCTGCTGTTTTCCAGATTCATTTATCTCTCCTCCAAAAAGTATATAAAATGAAATCATGGGTTTAGTGGATTCTTCTGTCTGAACAATGAGCTAGAGTAGATAGCAGTGAGATCAATGGTGGGGGTGACGTGTTATTGACTTAGTTTCTTTTTCTAGAGAAATGATCAAATACTATAATCTGTGTGAAACGTCAAAAACACTATTCACACATATTCCAACACTATTTAACCAAGGACAATGTAGGAAAAAAATAATTAATTAATTCTTGAAATCTGAAAAAATCACTTATTTGGTACCACAAGAAAAAGACCAAAAAATCACTTATTTTGGACCGGAGAAAGTATATTCTTATAGGGTCATTCATATTCTTGCCTTCAGTAACTCGTTTTGTATTAATTGGCCAAATACATAGACTAACCCAGTTTTCAATTGGACACTCCAACTTGAACTTGTACCTATTGAACACTCCAATTTTATACCAAATGTGCCACCTCTGCCTCCGACCCTGCTTCCCTACCACCATAACACCACTGGACCAACAATCGCCATATGAAAATCACAACCTTCATTTTGAAATTTAAGCTGAAAAGAACAAAGTCCACCACTCCCATTCCAATCATAATTTAAAATCAATATTAGGAATAGGAATCGACAGCATCCAAAGTCCACCACCCCATTCCACTAGCTGCTTTAAAACCAGAACAATTCAATTTATGCAGTAAATTAATAGTGGCAGATTTCCGGTTATCAAATTCAATTGAGCCCATAAAGTATTCGGACCACATCACCCTTCAGTTCTCGGTGCCCCGTCTCCCTACCGCACCCTGGGACTGAAGCCGTCACACCCACCTCTGTTTTCCGTCAACCGATAACTGTCACAATAAACCGTAAGGTAAAGCTTACAACAAAGTCAGTTAGTAGAGTAAGGTGTAACAAATTAGGAGGAAGATGAAAGAGAAAGTAGAAGATGTGGTGGTTTGGAACAATGTTCTTTTTTGGGATTTGTTTTACGTATTGTTTTGGATGGTTGTTTCGCATCGTATTGTATTGTATTGTTATCACAAATACAATGTTTGTTTTATTGTTAATATAAAATTAATTGTATCGTATTGTTAGATTCATTGTTCCGCAACGAAAAACTTCATTTTATGAAACAACCAAATCGGTGTGGTGGGATTGTTCCGTATTTTTCTGTCCAATTATGCCCACATTTATTATTCTATATCTCAATTTTACCCTTTACCCTATTATTTATATTATACTTCACCCAACTACGTACTTTGTCTCCATCCTTCCGTGCATTTTTTCGCTTTGTTTTCCCTCATTAATTTTCCCTCTCTTTTCTTGTATTTTCCCTTGTTGGTTCATCTATGATCTTTGCAAACTATATGTTCTGGTGATATAATTTTATTGTATTATGCACTTTAAGTTATGGATTATTTGCCACATAAAAGGTCAGAAACTCAAGATCCGTTGTCTACTCTGTTTTGATGGGGCTGTGATTTTTTTATTTGTTTGTATGAAACCAATTTGGGGCTTTTGCTATTATGGTAAAATGATAATTCCCTGTGAGGAAGATGGGGAGGTCACATAAATAAATTATTTTTATGAGTAATTCTTAATAAGCATTGTATTTAAAATAATTTAGGGTATTTTAGTAAACTTATCAGTACAGTACAGTACAATACAGTCAAACCAAATAATAAAGATGTTATTTAACAACAGCAAACGATACAATCTATCCTAACGTTGCATCCATCAAAACGATACAATACAGTACAATACAATACAATACAATACATTATAAAAACGATGGGTAATAATGATCCAAACAAACTGTTAGGTAATTGAATTTGTGTAATTACATATCCTAATAATTATACAGTTGTGTTATTACGACCACATGTTTGTTTGTCATACTGTAATTATAAATTTACTGTTTGGTTGTATAGGTACAATTACATAGTTAAATTAAATTTTAAATGAAGTAATTATCAAAACTTAAAAGTTAATATAATAAATATATGCCTATAAATTTTTATAAGTATAAATGATATTATATTTGTTATTTAATATATATATTTTTCGTGGATATACATTAATTAGTAATCATATATTTATAACTAATATTGTAAAAATAATATATATATATATATATATATATATATATATATTCAATATTAATAATATTTAGTTTAGATACTAACAAAAACTAAAAAAACATACATTTTGTAAGAAAATCATGGAATTCATGTTTGATAAAATAAATTAATATTTATAAATATAATGCCATAATATTATTCAAATATTTGACAAAACTAAGCTATCAGTTCTAACTAAAAAATGACCAACATGCAATATATTATTAAAACAAGTAAATTGAAACCATGAATATAACGCAATTTCAAAATCCAAAAAAAAAAAATAGTTTAACATATGTCAAATTCCAACATAATAATAATAAGTTCCACTACAACTTAAGATTAGGAAACATAATAATTTTATAACCATAATCAACAACGAAATTTCACTTTAATTGCATCATTCATTATATGCCAAGTTTGTTAATGATTCATTATTTCTAGTATTAGGAGGTGTAGTTTCAAAAAATAGAATAATAAAATAAATAAAAAAATAAAATATAAGCAATTACATGGAATCACAAGAAGTAAACGTGAAGAAATAAAAGATAAATAACGTACAAAAAAAATATTTTAAAATTTCAAAAGAAATTAAAAGTCCAAAATAAAATTTAAAAAGTAAAATAATAGAAATAAAAAGTTAAAAAGAAAATAAATTAAAATAAAAACAAAAAGGAAAGAAACTAAAATGCAACCTTGTAATTACACAGTGTGATTACCATCAATTTTCACCTTCCCTTGAGAATTGGAGAGTGCAATTACACTCCCCCCTCCAATTACATGATGATCAAGTAATTACTTGGTCAAACAAACATGCTAAACTGTGTAATTACACCCAATTACACCCAAATCCAATTCCTAAGTGGCTTTCCAAACAGACTCTTGGAGAAAAAAAAGGAAAAATGTGATTTTTGACATGTTCACGCGCCTAGAGAGAGCTGAGAAATACTTTCTTTGATTGTGTTAGTCAGATCCAGTATTTAAACTCTATGGGTTCAACTTATAAGGTTTTAGCATTGAAACCATTATATTTTTAAAGTTATGGGTTCATATCTTCTACTTTTGTAACTTTAACGAATTCTTACATATAAATTTTTATTCCGCGTCAAAAGTTATGCGTTCAATTGAACTCGTTATCCTCACTAGATCCGCCCCCGGTGTTCAATAGGCACATCTACTACCAGGTTAAAGTGTTCAATAGGTATATGCTTTAAGTTAAAGTGTCAAAATAAAAATCGGAGGAAGTTTAAGGGGATTGTCAATGTATTTAGCTGTATTTATTTCTTGCGCTTAACAAAGTTCCAATGTGAATTAGGTGAATTTTACGTGTCAAAATGCTTTAGAAAATGATCTGAAGTTACATGTGTGATTTTAACTATGATTCAAAATTACTCTCCTATATACTTTGGTTAATGTCCATGCTGAAGCTCGTTAAGGTCAAGTATGCATGTTGAAACCTGTGAAACGAGTTTTCTTTGAATACAGATATTCTTGTTTAAACTCAAGGAATGAACCGCATTTATCCTCTAATCTGAATGTGCTGCCGCTTCAACCCACTGATGAATTTCAAGGGGATGGGATTCCTTTGTAGACAAACGGAACAATGAATCACATTGTTGTTCAATCAATAACTACCAAAACTTTTTTGATGCTTTTTTGTACAGAAAGAACATTTTTAGTGTTTACAAAAAAAAGGTTACATTATTAAGCATTTCGCAGTATAATACTGCGAATAACGAGAAAACTGCCCTCTATAGCCCCTCAAAATTTTAATAGCCCATGTTTTGTCCTACTTACAAAAAATGGCCCTTCGGCCCAAAAGTATTGCATATAGTAGCCGAAAGGAATGAGTATGACAACATAAGCGCCTGTAGCTCAGTGGATAGAGTGCCTGTTTCCTAACCTGAAGGTTGTAGGTTCGACCCCTGCATGGCGCGATAGAGCAACCCTTTTTTGCAATGTATAAATATTGTATCCTAAGTTCGACAGTGTATCCTTGGTGTATATTGAGCCTATCTCGAGTGTGCTTATGTATCAAAATTGTATATAATGTGTATTTTCTAATATCTAAACATAGTGTATATAAATTATATACAATTTTGTATGTGTAATGTGTGCACACTGTGTATTTGGAGTGGATCATGTATTTTTGTATAGTGACAGTCTTTTTTATATATATTTTATATAGTCATATATTTTGTATAGTGACATCTATTTTATATATTTTTTGTATAGTGACAGTCTATTTTGTATATTTTTTGTATAGTGACAGTCTATTTGTATATTTTTTGTATAGTGACAGTCTATTTTGTATATTTTTTATATAGTGACAGTCTATTTGTATGTTTTTTGCATAATGACAGTCTATTTTATATATTTTTTGTATAGTGACAGATTTTCTTTCCAATATTCAAAAAAAAAATAAAAATTTGCTCTCCAGTCTAATACAGTCTAAAAATGTAATACATGGTCTACCTCTACATTGGACAAAATAACACAATTGAGAATGGTTTTCTATTAGTGGATTCAAAAACATAAAAAGGTAAATAAATAGGAAGAAGGAGAGAAGGAAAGCCATCAGATTGAACTCAAGTATAAACCCAATGACTTGCACCTTTGTAAAAACATAAAAAAGGACGCTTTATCTTGGATGGAAGAACCGAACTTTATCGTGAAATTGAAATTAAAACCCAGTCAGTCTAACCCATTGTGCTCGATCTCATTGGCTTTAGATCTGGACGGAAACTCAAACACCGGTGATCCTCCATTAAATTCGGCGACTCTTTCTTCTCGTTTTATTCACTGTTTTGGGGATTTTGATATTATAAAAATCTAGATCTGAAAGATGGTTTGCTTGCTAATTTGAATTTCGGCAGATCTGGCCGGTATATAGCTTTTCCGACGACCGTGAAGTTTTCCGGCTAAACCATTTCGGGCCGAAAATTATTTCTCCAGTGAACCTATGTTTGTTTGTGTACTGTTGTTACTATGAACTTGTTATGCTGGAGATTATGGGATACCTTGAATATTACTTTCGCCGGAATCTGACCCACTAACGATAAATAGGGCCCGACTCTGCCGCCTACA